ACAACGAAAAAGTAATCCGATCGATTATTCAGTTCGGCAGAAAAAAATGACTCATTATGTAGTGATATAAAGAAGAGAACGATAAATAACCGGTAGAAGATAACAAAAAGGTCATTAAGTGTATTTATTAAAAGTTAACTGCCCATGAAACTGAACATTTCGAAAAAAATTTCTAAGAAAACTGAATCGAGTTGAATGGGTTAAGTTATTTCCGTTGGACATATTTATGTGGAATTTCAATGGAAAATCAACAAAATTTGCATGTGTTCTAGCGATAGACAATAGCTAGATGACTGATTTTAGCAGTCAAACTAGTCAAATCTGTGAAGGATGGTCACTGAAATAATTACTGAGTGCAGTTGAGAATTGTACAAGTTATCAGCTTAGCAATATTGTAATTGAAGGTAGGAAAAGTGTTTGCAATCATCTCACATATATTTCAGTTCACCAATGCTACTTCAATAGCTTTATGTTTGGCGAATTCATTGGTAGCTCGCCGTGATTTTATTCATTATGATCAATTGGTTCGTTACAAATGGTGGTTTAAATCAGGATACATGTCATCAACTGGAAAATGTATTGGTATTAGAGAATCTACCAAAGAACCACTTTGTGAATTTGAACGTCGTCAAAAAAAATATGCCGATGACTTGGGTATTTCAATGAAAGATATGGATTATCTTTCTGATGCTGAGCTACTAAAACAATTTAATACGTGTTGCATTAAAGACGAACTAGCAGACAATGATGCTCTTGCGCGTCTCGCGCCTGTGCCACTCTTTTTCTATAGATTTCCTCAAGCAGGTATTGAATATTCTGGTCGAAGTGGACAAATTACTCATGGAAATAAAATAGTATACGATGCATGCCGTTATTATGGTGCTTTGAGTGTTGCTGCTCTGCATGGTTCTACAAAGGAACAATTACTCGATAATGAATTTTACTCGAAGCACAAATCCTGGTTTAGTAACATCGAACTTCATCCTGCTGTAGAGTCCGTTGCTAAAGGATCGTATAAAAGAAATGGCTACGATGCCGGTATTCGAGGTAAAGATCATATTGTGAGTGCTCTAGAAGCTGCACTATGGGCATTTTGGTCCGATGACGGCTCATTTGAGAAAGGCGCTCTGGCTGCTGTTAATCTGGGTGATGATACAAATACCACAGCTGCTATATATGGACAATGAGCCGGTGCTTATTACGGTTATCGAACATTACCTGCACGTTGGTTGAAGAATGTTCATGCGAAAACCTTTATTGAAAAACTAAGCAAATGGATTGCAATGGAGGGGAAAAGTTGTCAAAAGCGGTATGAAGCCTTTCTCTCTCAATCATCGAAAAGTAATAGCTGAAAATATCTTCGAACTATTTAAGCAATTTTTAATGATTTTTGATGTCTTAGTAAGAAACAAGGTTGTAAGCATGGTGTCTTTAGGACTGAAATGTTGAAATTACATATTTACAATAAAATATAATTTCTTACTATCAGTTGTATCTTGAAGTGGCAAAAGCCGAGAGAAGTTCATGATTTTTGGAAAAGTTTTCAAAATATTGTTATAAATAAAAAGAAAACTATTGGATTATTTAGTAAAAAAAACAAAGTTTTCTTATACTGACAGGGAAGCAGGAAAGATAGTGTGATTTTTCCTGGAAAGGTGCAGGTGTGGATGTGGATGTGGGTGGGGTGCGAGTTATTTCTCTTGAGTTACTCACACCCAACTTTTCGCGAGCTTTCAAATGATTCACCTTATTAAAAAAAAGATTTTTTAATATATGGGTTTCTACTTAGTCAGGCCGTTTTTTAACCATCTCTAAAGAACATACAAGCTTTGTGTGTCAAAACGAGACGAATCACAAAAATAGTTGTTAAGCGAAAGTCAATATATTCAAGCGATACAGCATTTCTTATTGTGCGGTTTCATCCTGTATGAGTTGTTTGAACTTTTCGGGCAGCCTAATAGATTTTTCTTGATAAAATCGAAGACATCCATTGTATTTCCTGTTACTTCTATTTTTGGTTCACCACCAATTTCTTTTGCCCATGCTTCATGGTAAGCGACATCCATACAATAAACAATAATGGGTATTTCCGATTTGATTTTTCTGCATTCAAGAGCAAAGTCTTCTCCATTGCTAGCTCCGCTTGTAACCACGACACCGTATATGAACATCTTACATTTTAACAAGTGCAATGCTTCATTTGTTGTTTCGCTAGCGTATATATTAAAATTGTATTGCTCTTTTAATTGTTGCAATGTATCGGAATTAGCGTAATTTTTTATGTTTGCGTCACGCCATAAAACAAACTTATCCGTCTTGAGAAAACTAACGATATACAGTGGTAATATCTGTCTCTTATCTTTGACTACAAATTCTTCATAGTATTCCTCATCTTGAGTATTGATCGGATAATTCGATCTAGGTTGAGTGTCAACTTTTACATAATGACTATCGTAGTCTCTATGTAGCGATTTTCCATGGTAACTCATATCTGAAACCGTTAATGTTTTACCTAATGAAACAATACTGCATAAAATGTGTCTAAGTTGTGGATTAGTCTGATTAGTCTGATCATAGTGCGTCACATATTTTAGTGAACTAGTGAAATAGATGCCTTGCCCGAAATAACCAGCATCCGTTGTACCTTTGAATTGAAAATTTTCTTCAAATATGCCATCAAAATGTTCCCTGCTTTTCACACCATGAAATAAAAACCTTTCACTATTGCTAGCAGATAATTTTGAGGAATACTTGATAAAGCCATTTACAAGTTCTTCATTATAGACTAGTGACATGTTGCTGATAATATATTCCTCGTTACACTTTCTCAATGAATCATAAATAACAATGCTTAACTGTTGACTTTTCTTTTTCAAGAGTTCCCATGTTTGATCGTCAATAATAGTTGGTCGTTCGTTTAATTCAAAAAATAAATCAATATTATCCGGAATAATTACTTCATCATTAAGCACTTTATCGAAATTTTGAAGCTCTGCAATGATTGAAGGAATCAGGTAAAAATCTTTATGTACTTCAATTGATGCCATTTTCAAATACTCATCGATTTTGCTTGTCGAGTTTTTAGTTCCAGCATCTTTGATAATTAGACTAAACTTTTTTTTAATCTTCTCCAACTTCTCCTTATCACGTAGTATTTTCTCCTTGGGAACTATTTTCAAAGTTGTACTACCTTTCGTGGCTTCTAAAATAAGAATTTCATCTTTATTCACTTCCAAATCATCGGCCAGATGTCGAAGCATTAATTCCCAATCAAACTCGTCTGAATTTAATGGAATTGTCAACTTTAATACTGGTAGATCATCAATTATGGCATGACCGAGTACTGGTAGAGGAAGAAATACCGGGACATTCATTGCTTTAACGTCCGAAGAACCTAATAGAGTATTTGGTTTTCTCACAGTTTTATTAAATGCTATATTTTCGCATGCCTTTTTAACATTATCATGTATTAAATCATTGACTTTAAATGGAATATTAACATCCAGTATTTCAAACACATTTAATTTTTCTTGTGGAGTAAAAATAACTTGATCAAATATATCAGGAGATATTTACTGTTCGTTCTTTTATGACATTGCTACAACGCTTGTATTATACGATGATATCATTATATTATATTCTCATATTTGAATAAACTATTTAAGTAAGTATGATATCTTTGCGCATAACTCTGGCATCTTCAAAGATTCTGCTAGTGTTTGGAGGTTTGTGCTTGTAACTGTGTCACTATTTTCCAAAACATGATCATCTAGTAGTAGATAATAATTTTCCGGCCCATCAAGCTCATTCTGTTGACACACGTAGGAAATAATATCAAATATTGTTGTATCTAGTTGAACAGTAGTATTTGATACAGTACCAGTGGAACGAATGCGTATCGAAATAATTAAATTATTATTGACGTCGTTAATACTTTTTTGATTCACTAAAACAGTAATGCGTTGCAATATATTCTATCATTTATAAAAATTAATAGTATCTGATCGATATTACTATAAAGCTAACCATCCTTCGTCATATAAGTGAAGCTTGAATATTTGAATGTCAAATATTCAAGTACTCATGTTTTTGGCTACACGCAACTCGAAGAAGTACATACGTAAACGAACTTTTACGGAGGTAAAAGGAAATCGTACGCGAAATAGAGCCATGATAAATGATTTTCATATGGATAGGTCTTTAAAAAATACAGTTTTCAAAAAAAAAATAATGGTCCATTCTTCCTGTGCAGATCTCAACGTTTACTATTTATGATTCTACTATATACTAAATATGAGGTTCTACGTTTTACCGTACAATTTAATTTGTCAATTATTTGTCATTGAGCTTTAAGTATTTTTATGTATAATTATACAGTTTCGATCAAAGTAAACGACATTCAAAAGAAGTCACACATTAATCGAAAAAGAAAAACTTGCATAGATACGAAAGAATCACAAATAATGAGTTATTCTAAATAGAAATTATTAAAGCCCACAAGATGCATCTGATAAATAGTACAGAATATTTCCTGTTGTGTCCTTCTTCGATAATATTGGTTGAGAAACGTACGAAGAAGAGAAAAGAAAACAGAACCTATATGTACTCGCTACTATCCTTAATTCTTTTATTTCATTACTTTGCCAATTTCAGATTATAAAAAGAAACATTATTCTAAACATCAAAATGCTGATCTATAATTTCCTATTTATCGTTATACAAATTCTATGAAGATAATAATGCGACGAATAACAATTTTCTCGGATACTTCTAGAATTAAAAAAATGAACTATTTTGTCTTGTTTTTGAACATGCACTCATTTAATCGAATAGTTGTTTTTTTTTACTTCTGTACTCATTTTATAGCCTAACTATTGAAACTCTACGAGTAACCCTAACCGACAGTCGATTAGCTTAACCGTCTGTCTCTATAATCTAGTAACCACATGTTAACTATGGTCCAGGTGGTCATAAATAGGGTCTGAAGGACTATAGGGCTGTTTCAAAACGAGCAATAAAGTGCAAAACTTCTCAAAAATACAGGAACAGTGGTAACAAGAATGGTACACGAAGCGAAAAATACAGACAGCATCATCATATTTATAGTGTTTTGAACGCTCTGTGTGGTCCGTCAGGTAGCATATTTGGCTGTGAGAACTATTATTGTCACCATTTTGAGCACGTTTTTGCGTTTTGAGTAATATCTTTGATGAATCAACGATCAAGTATGTCACATTTGTGAACATTCAGAGTGTCTTTTAGGAATTTTTGATTATATCTTTTGTGACGAATGCCGTAGTTACGGTCATTACTTTCTTATTTATCCAAATTTCGACTGAATTATCAACCATATTTAGCATTAACTCACTCATGCCATCTCTATGTTCAACGATAATAGAAATGGCATCAGTGCACGATACCATCATGTAAATCACCAAGAAAGTAGTTCTAATGACAGAAGCAATGGTTCGAATAACCACGACTGTGGCTAACCATAGTATGGATGTCATTATTCGTACTGTGGCAATGGTCATTTGCATCATTGGGACAGCCATTTGTACCATCAATATGGTCATTTGACACATCAATGCGGCCATTTGTACCACGATTTTTGTCACTTGTACCAAGTGTTTCAGACGGGCAGACAGGTAGACAGACAAAGGTGAATTTCTGTTTCTAGACCCTATGCTTTCAGCCTAGGGAAGAGTTTCATGCTATTGTTTTTATTTTTTTTGTGAAGATGTTTTTCCTGAAAATTCTTGTATATACTTGTTTATCCCGTTGGAGCATGTATTACGCTAAAACACGGTCAAATATTGTCGTGTACCACAGGATACGTTGACCTGTGTAATCAAATATTTATCCATGGATGATGAAGGAAGAAAAATGGAGTCAGGGTCTATACAAGGCAAAAGCGCATGAAAACCTAAACAAATTGTATTGGACGTCCTGCATGTACTGCTAAAAAGAATTCCATCAAGAGCAGAATAATGTTTCTTTAGTTTAGATTCAGAAAAACAATCTAGCAACGTATTCCTATACTCGTCTGAACATGTTGGAATATCTTTATAGTGGCATTTATGTCTTCAGTTGATGTAAAAAGCGACATAAACAGTCATTTTCTATGTGTACCCAAGCGAGTCAAAAAATGATAAAAATGGCATCATTATGACGAATGAAGCAGACGCTTTCATGTTTTTCGAAGTCATTGATTGAAAGCGACATTTACTTCAATTTTATTGCATGATTTTGATTAAACATGAAATTGACTGGAGTTACTCAATTAGAATATCATTACTTTTTTTCGTTCCATCATCAGCCGATATGCAATTTCCTGAGAAGTGTTTCTTATTGTTTCACCTTGCAAGCGATAGTTTCCAGTCGACATTCCACAATACTACTCATTCATCTTTACTTAGATGTGAAACGATGACTTCTTGTTGCATACGACAATCATCAGAATTTTACAAGAAGGTAGGTGGAAAAAAGCTTATAGCTTTTGAACGAAACGTTATAGCGACGTGCGGTTTTCAACAACCGATAGAAGATTGTAAGGAAGACATGGGAATATAAAACGAAATTTTAAATAATGCAGTACAATAGGAGTGATTGTGAAATCATTGAAAGAAAAGTCTCATTATTTGGTGATATTCCGGCATATATATAACGCCACTGTACCCCAACGTCCTCTATAATATCATCGATACATCTTTTAATGACGAGGAATAGTGTGTCAATCGTCATCTAGTATTATGTAAGGCTCTCATTCACAAAATATATTAGAAAATGATCTGAACTTTTGACTGAAGAAATACCATAATCTAGACTTCATATCTGCACAATAACATCGACTTCGGTTGTAGAAATATACACAAACAACCATAATTCGACAAAGAGATATTTCTCATAAAGTAAGTATTTTAAAACAAATCTTTCCAACTTTCTCAAGAGAAATGCAGAACTTAGTAATATTTTCACCGTCTTTTCTTGTTCATACAATTCGACTATGATAAAATTGCAGACATATGAATTTTGGATTATGGTACTTCTTCAACTTCAAGTTCAAATCATTTTGTAACATATTGGGTGCATGAGAGCCTTATGTAGTATCAGATGATGATTGACACAGCATTCCTGGTCATTAAAAACTGAATTGATGATATTTATAGGGAACGGTGGGGATATTGGGACTACATATGCTGAAATATCACTAAATAATGAGCTTTTTCTTTCAATGATTCGACAGTCACTCCCATTATATCTGATTATTTAAGCATTGTTTTTATATACCCATGTCTCCTTTCCAATCTTCTATCGATTGATGAAAACCGCAGTTCGTTATAATGTTTTGTTGAAATGTTACAAGCGTTTGTTTGCATCAACCTTTTTTTTTTAAATCCGATATTAGTTTAAGAATTAAAAGGTTCACGCGCTACATCTTTTACAATAAGTAAAAATTTATACAGTTCAACCGTAGAATTATTGGTTTCAAATTTTATATTTAAAACTAATTTGTATGTCGAGACGCGTGCTACATTACAATTACATTAAAAGATCTTTTCAGTCGAGTACTTCCCATGAAATATCTGACACAATTTTACGCTACACCTGAGATTTACTTTATTCAATTGTTTCTTCAGGTGAGTAATCATCAACTCCGTCAAAATCGTTTGATATATTATCGGGAAACATCTTTACGAAAAATACATACTGGTGTCTTTCGTTAAGGTATATCAACTGAAGTCTTATCTCCTAACACTTGATGGTCTTATTGCTGATGAAAACAGACACGAAATCGCTCAGGGTGTGAATCATCAGCAATGAATCGAGAGCATGCGAGTGTGGGTGTGGATGTGGATGTAAGTGTAGATCTAGGAAGACAATCATCTTACATCCACACCCTCAAGCTATCAGCAAGAAATCAAGAACACGCTGGTCCTAATACTGTGCACGCCTTGAAAATAATTGAGAATGCTGATTTCAACTGCATATTAAAAGGAATATCTGAATCCATTTGGATACTGTATAGCAAGCTTACTTTTGTCATTTGTTTCTTCAGACGAACCATCGTTTATGCTATCACGGTCACGTGATACACAGTTGAAGACGTCTTTACATCGAGATATATGACTTCCATCCTGAAATATCCATTGAAGTCTTACCTGTAAATACTTCATGCTCTTCTTTCGGGAGAAAACAGTCACGACATCGCTCAGGGCGAAAATAGTCATAAACAAATCGAGAGCAAGTGGTTCTTGACGCTGTTCACGCAATCAAAGCAGAACACAGTGACATTGTTAAAAGTATACTTTCGTGTACGTATAAAACATGTTCTGCTACTACGTGTGAAACTTACTTCGCTCTTGTAATTCTT